CTGCTTACCCTCCTATCTGCCCTCCAATCCCTGCCCCCCGACCCCTGCCTGCCCCCCCTGCCTTCCCCTGCCTGCACAGGCTCCATAACCATCCCCAGGGAGCAACGTGGCTCCCTGGAGCTCAGCTGAGCCGGCCACGGCATTGCCAGCGCCCGATGGGACTTAGTGATGAGTGGGAGGCTTGGCGTGGCAGAGACCTGCATCCCACGGGACGTGTCCCCCCAGTGGGTGTCCGCACCGGAGGATCCCGAGTCCTGGAACATGGCACGTTGCAGGAGAGGGTTGGGATCCCGGCTCCTCTTGCCAGCAGAGTTCCAAAAATCAGTTTTAATTAGGCCTAAGCGTTCGTCAGAGAGTCCTGAGCGCCGCCAGGGCTTTTGAAGGGTGATGGTGGCCCTTGGTGTGGATGTTGGCCCCCTCCTCGGGGCGCCGTGCCCCACCTGGGGTGCTCGGAGAGGAGGGGACAGACCAGCCAAGGCGGGCGAGGTGTTCCTTTCCCACCAAAACGGGGCAGGAGTTTTCCTGGTCCATCTCCAGGGATTTTGAGGAGGGAGATTGGTTGGGGCGACCCTCGCTTCGTAGAATCGTAGACTGGTTTGAGTTGGAAGGGATGTTAAAGATGATCCAGTTCCACCTCCCCCCTGCCCTGGGCAGGGACGCCGTGGGTGACACCAGGGACAGGGTGGGTGACACCAGGGGCTTCCCCACGGCGTGGGAGGGGGCTGGGGGGGCTGCCTGCCGGGAGCTGCCGTTCCCCGTCCCCGGAGGCCACTGGCAGCGCTCGGCGCGCGGTGCCAGCCCTCTCGGCGTGGACTACAAATCCCAGTAGCGCTGCCTGCGCTGCCTGCGGGGAAGCTTTTACTGTAAACAGAGTGAATCCGGGCCAGACCCCGGGGTCAGCGCCTTCCTCTCCCCTAAAATAACTGGGAGGAGGAAAAAGAGGAGGAGGAGGAGGGAGAGAGACGCCAGCGGAGCCTCTCCCGAGGCGGCCGAGCTCCTCCCAGCGTTCCCCGCCGCTTTTCCCCCCCCCAACTCACCGGCCTCTCTCTCTCTCTCTCTCTCTCTCTCGCCCTCCCAGGGACCCGCAGCAGCCATTTGGAGGAAGTGGAGAGGGGGGAAGATCGTCGGCGAGGGTGGCGGAAGGCGGAGGGGAAGGACAGCCGCCGCCCCGCGCTCTCCCCGGAGCTGATGTCCTCTCCCCTCGCCGGGCGGCCCCGAGGGGAGCCATGTCTGCGGGGGGAGCGCCCCAGGTACGCACGGGGTGGGTTTTTTTAGGGGGGTGGGCAGCAGTTTCCCCTCCATCCCCAGGGTTGGGGGGGAAAGGCCGGAGCGGGCCCAGCTCTCACCACATCCCTCTGCGGCAGAGCGGGGCGGGCGGCAGGAACCCCCTCTTTCATCCTGTGATGTTTTGGGGGGGGTGCTGGTGGGGTTTTCCCAGGGCTTGGGAGCTTTTTCTGGTGTTTTTCCTCCTCCTCGTGTAGAAACACCGAGGCCGGGGGAGCCGCGCCAGGCCCCTGGAAGACTTTTTTTTTTCTTTTAAATTGGCGCTTCTTAAAGTTACGGCGGCGCGAGCTGGGCTCCGTGTCTTCTGCCATCTGCTCTCCTGGCGCTCCTGCCAAGCTCCGGAGGGGTTTGGAGGGAAGAAGAGAGGAATCCTGGGGTGGGTTGGGTCTGGGGCTTCCTGGGAAAAGCCGCTCTGGCTCCTTAGGGAGGTTTCCCCCGTCGGTCCCGATCCCGGCTGGGTGGGGAGTGGGGCTGGGGGATCACACCTGGATGAGGGATCCATTTGGGAACCGAGTGATCTTGCTGGAGGGGGTGGTGTGTGTTTTCCTTCTGCCCTTCGCGAGCTCCATTTGAGGGTTTCTGTCAGACGATGCTCTCGCTGAGGAGGAAACTGAGGCACGGGGGAGAAGCAGCTTTCCTGTGCCGAAACGAGGGGGTGGCAGAGGGGGAGGTGTCACCCCGAGTCCCTGTCCTGCCCTCCCACCCCTCTGCCCCCCCTGCTCTGCCTGCACCCCCCTCCTACTGCTCCTTTCCTGAAGGATTGGAGCTGCCTTTCGAGTCCAGGGGCTCGGGGGCAGCAGTGCCCCACGTTCCACCTGGTCTTCCAGGCAGGACCAGCCTTTCCATCCACCTCCTCTGGTTCTGGAACAGCTTTTCCCATCCTTTCGCAGGGAAAAGGGATTGGGATTTCTACCGGCTGCGCTGCTGCGGGCCCGGAGGCCAAGGAGAACCCCTTGGTGGTGGTCCCGCTGGGCCGGCCCCTCTCGAGGGCTTCCTGAATTTCTTCCCTTTCCAAGAAGAAATTTTTCCCAATCTCTATCTTAAACCTCCCCTGGAGCAACTTGGGGCCATTTCCTCTTGTCCCATCGCCTGTTCCTTGGGAGAAGAGACCGACCCCCCCTGGCTACCCCCTCCTTTCAGGGAGTTGGAGAGAGTGAGAAGGTCTCCCCTCAGCTCCTTTTCTCCAAGCTGAGCACCTCCAGCTCCCTCACAAGTTCTTCAGACCCTTCTCCTTGGTCTCCAGACCCCTTACCAGCTCCGTTGCCCTTCTCTGGACCCACTCCAGCCCCTCAATGTCTTTCTTGGCATGGAGGGCCCAGAACTTGGACACAGCCCTCAAGGTGGGGCCTCAGTGCCCAGTACAAGGCAACCATCACTTTTTTAGTCCCACTGGCCAAAAAAACCAAAGAAAGGCACCCCAAATAAGCGATGGTGATCTGCTGAAAGGCTTCTCCTCTCTCCCCGACCAGCCTCCCCACGCCCTGAACCTGCTCCCCTACCCCAGGCTGAGCGAGGTGCCCAGGACCGGACCCGAGCTGGATGCCGTCGGCACCGAGATCCCCTCCGACCCCTGCACCGGTGAGCACCGGGGACGGCACCGCGCCGGGGGGGGCTTCGGGTGGTGGGAACGGGGTTCCTGGGGGTTCTTACGTGTTCTCCCCACAGCACAGCCACCAACAGCCTCCTCCTAACCAGAACTTCGGGGGGGATTCAGGGGTTTAGGCCAAGATTGTATGTAAATATATGCAAATGTGGCACCGCTGGGAGGGAATCGCCAGCCTGGGGAAAGTGTCCTTCAGCCTCTTCTTCCAACCCAAAGATGGAGACTTTTCTCCTGCTTGGGAGAGCTCAGGTGGGAATTAATGGCATTTTTGCGGCGGCCCTTTGAAATCCGATCGGAAAAGCGCTGGGCGGGATCTGAGAGCGCCAAAAACCCTGGAAAGAGGCGTTTTCCAAGGAACGGGGCTCCTTTCCCACCTTTCACCTTCACAGGAGGAGGGAGCCCCGGCCCTGGAATTTTCTTTTTATCTTTAATTACACCTCGGGCAGCAGAAGCTTAAAATAGATGAAAGCCGTGCCCCGGGGCATCGTTAATTTTAGCTTATTTGCCAATTAAGGCGGGCGCCTTCCAGCCTAACGATGCCCCGGGCGGGTGTTGCAGCGGGAGGTGACAGTCGTGAGGTGACAGTCGTGGTGACCCAGCTCTTGTCCCTTCAACCAGGCTACAGGTTTTTCAAGCCCGGGGGTTTGTTCGGGATTAAACAGGCGGAGGAGGCGTACGGCGACGGGCAGCAGATGCAGGAGGAGAGCAAGATCCTCGTCAGCCCCTGCGCGGGTGAGTGCTCCCTGGGTCCCAGCTGAGGATGTGGCAAACCCACCTCGGTGGGTAAAGGCCGTCTGCGGCCAGTTTGCAGCCATTTTGGGCCAGTTTGTGGCCGTTTTTGCCCAGTTTGCAACCCTTTGGGCCAGTTTGTAGCCATTTGGGGCCAGTTTATGGCCATTTTGCAGCCATTTTGGACCAGTTTGTGGCCATTTTGGCCCGCTTCATAACCATTTTGCCCCAGTTGGTAGCCATTAGGTGCCAGCTTGTGGCCATTTTGCCCCAGTTTGTAGCCATTTGGTGCCAGTTTGTGGTCATTTTGGCCCAGTTTATGTTGGTTTTAGGCCAGTTTGTGGCCGTTTTTGCCCAGTTTGCAACCCTTTGGGCCAGTTTGTAGCCATTTGGGGCCAGTTTATGGAAATTTTGCAGCCATTTTGGACCAGTTTGCGTCCATTTTGGCCCACTTCGTGGCCATTTTGCCCCAGTTGGTAGCCATTTGGGACCAGTTTGTGGCCGTTTTTGCCCAGTTTGCAACCCTTTGGGCCAGTTTGTAGCCGTTTGTGGCCAATTTATGGCCATTTTGGGCCAGTTTGCAGCCATTTGGTGCTAGTTTGTGGCCATTTCAGTCCATTTTGCAGCCATTGGGGGCCAATTTTTGCTATGGCTGTTGCTGCCAGCGCTGCTGTCGGCAAGTCAGGGGTGGAGCGGGCTCTGGGAAAGGCTCTGATCCTTCACAGGGTGTTACAAACTGCCATGATTTAGCTGTAAGTAGAGCGAGGAGTTGGACTCGAGGATCCCTTATGGGTCCCTTATGGCCACAACTAGAGTACTGTGTCCAGTTCTGGGCTCCCCAGTTCAAGAGGGACAGGGAACTACTAGAAAGAGTCCAGTGAAGGGCAACAAGGATGATTCAAGGATTGGAGCATCTCCCTTATGAGGAGAGACTGAGAGAGCTGGGACTCTTTAGTCTGGAGAAGAGAAGGCTGAGGGGAGACCTTATTAATGCTGACAAGTATCTCAAGGGAGGGTTGAAGGAGGAGGGAGCCAGACTCTTTTCAGTGGTTCCCAGTGAGAAGACGAGGGGCAACGGGCACAAGTTGGAACATAAAGGGTTCCACTCAAATATGAGGAGAAACTTCTTCACGGTGAGGGTGGCAGAGCCCTGGAACAGGCTGCCCAGGGAGGGTGTGGAGTCCCCTTCCTTGGAGATTTTCAAGACCCGCCTGGATGCTCCTGAGTAACATGCTCTGACAAGCTCTGGGCAATCCTGCTTCAGCAGGGGAGTTGGACTAGATGATCTCTATGGTCCCTTCCAACTCTAAAATTCAGTGAAATTCAGTGAAATTCAGTCCCCTCCGACCTGAGCCGCGGTAGGATGCTGTGAAAGACCCTGACATGAACCTCTTGACTCTTTCTGAAATCTAGTGGAGCCCGGCCGGGTGAATAAAGTCGAGCAGCCTGAGGAGAAGCCCGGGGTGGCTGCCGGTTCCCTGGAGCTCTATCCCGCAGCCGCCGGCAGCTCCGGCCGCTGGTTCCATGGCGGCCAACGCGCTCCCGAGCGGGCGGCCATGGAGAGAGACACCAGCACCACCACCACCACCAGCACCGCCGCCGTCACCGCCGCCGGCCTCGGCTCCCTCTCCACCCGCGTGGCTTGTTGGGTGCCGCAGCTCGGCGCCGGCCCGTTCCGCTGCGCCCAGTGCGGCAAAGGTTTCCGCCAGAAGCAAAGCCTCATCACCCACGAGAGGATCCACACCGGGGAGAAGCCCTACCGCTGCGGGGACTGCGGGAAGAGCTTCAGCCAGCGGCCAAACCTCCTCACCCACCGCCGGGTGCACACCGGGGAGCGCCCCTTCCCCTGCACCCAGTGCGGCAAGAGCTTCAGCCAAAAAGCCAACCTCCTGGCCCACCAGCGCATCCACGCCGCCGGAGAGAAGGCCCTGGCGGGCGGCGAGCAGGAGGACGGGGCTTCCAGCAAACCCAAGCTGCGATCCCAGCAGAGGAATTACCAGGAGGACACCCCTTTCGTCTGCCCCGAGTGCGGGAAGAGCTTCAGGCAGAAGCCCAACCTCATCACCCACCGCCGGATCCACACCGGGGAGCGGCCCTTCACCTGCTTCCTCTGCGGGAGGAGCTTCAACCAGAAAACCAACCTGGTCACCCACTACCGGGTGCACACCGGGGAGCGCCCCTTCGCCTGCACCCAGTGCGGCAAACGCTTCACCCAAAAAACCAACCTGGTGACCCACCAGAGCACCCACACGGACCTGCGGCCCTACCCCTGCGGCCAGTGCCAGAAGTGCTTCAAGGACAAAGTCTCCCTCAAAGCCCACCAGAAGACCCACGCCCCGCGGCAACGACGCTGCCCGGGTCGCAGCCCGGCCGCCAGCCTGCCCTACGGGCCCGCTCCCACCCTGCTCCAACCCGGGGGGCCCGAGCAAGAGGCCCCCCCGTTCAGCCCCATGCCGCCGCTGCCCGTCCAGAAGATCCCTGAGGGCCAGGAGCTCTACTCGTGCACGGAGAAGAGCTTTCCCCCCAAGGAGCCCCTCCTGCCCCACCAACAGCCCCCCCTGGGCGAGCAAACCTTCCCCTGCGTCCAGTGCGGGGAGGGCTTCTGCCAGAAGGTGACTCTGCTCCGGCCGCAGCACGGTCCCGCCGCCGAGGCTGCCGGGGGGTGCGCGGCGACCTTCACCCACGGCCCCCACCTCCTGGGACACCTCGGGGTGCAGCCCGTTTTGGGGGATGCCACCCCCCCGGCTCCTCCAGCCCCCGGGACGGAAAAACCCTTCATCTGTAACCAGTGCGGCAACAGCTTCGGGCTCTGGCTCTCTCTGGTGGCCCACCAGAAGACCCACGTCGGCCAGAAGTCCTACCCCTGCCCCGAGCACGACAAAAGCTCCGGCGACGAGTTGTCCCCCAAAGATCTCCAGGAGAAGGTGGGGGAAGGGAGAGCCTGGGTGTGCCCCGAGTGCGGGAGGAGCTTCCCCCAGTACGACCGGCTGGTAAAACACCGGCAGAACCACCGGGGCAGAGGACCCTACCGCTGCGACGTCTGCGGCAAGAGGTTCAGCCTGAAGACCAACCTGGTGACCCACCAACGCATCCACACCGGGGAGCGCCCCTTCACCTGCGGCGTCTGCGGCCGCCGCTTCAACCAGAAGGGCAACCTGGTCACCCACTACCGCACCCACACCGGGGAGCGCCCCTTCGCCTGCGCCCAGTGCGGCAAGCGCTTCGCCCAGAAACCCAACCTCATCGCCCACCAGAAGACCCACAGCGGCCGCCAGCCCTTCACCTGCCTGGAGTGTCCCAAACGCTTCAAGAGCAAACTCTCCCTCAGGGTCCACCAACGCGTCCACGTCACCGAACCCCCCCAGGGCCAAACGGGCCAGACCCCCGCCCTCCAAACCCACCCGGGGAGCCCCTACCCCTGTTCCCTCTGCGGGGAGAGCTTCGAGGAGCACGGGGAGCTCCAGCTGCACCGGCAGGGCCACGCGGGCGAGCGGCCCCACGCCTGCGCCGAGTGCGGCAAGAGGTTCCGGCAGAAGGTGAACCTGGCCGTGCACCAGCGCACCCACACCGGGGAGAGGCCCTTCCGCTGCGCCGAGTGCGGCAAGGGCTTCAGCCAAAAAGCCCACCTCCTCCGGCACCGCAGGACCCACGCCGGCGCCCTCCCTTCCTCCTCCTCCTCCTCTTCCTCCTCCTCCTGCTGCTGCCAGGGAACTTGCCCGGCCCACCGGGAAGAACCGGAGGGGAGCGTGGTTCCTTTGGGAAAAGGCTCCGAGCCGCCGCCCCCCCCGGGGGTCCTGCTGCCCCCCTGCTCCCGCGGAGCCCCCCACGGGGCGCTGGCTCGGGAGGAGCTGCGGCCGCCGGCGCAGCCCCCCCACAGACCCGAGAGCCCCTCGGGGGCAGCCGACATCCTCCTCCAGCTGATGCAGGAGGAGCACCCCCTGGTCGCCGGCTCCCACCACCACCCCCAGGAAGGACCCCCCGGCTCCTGCCCTTGTAAATGCGGCGAGGGAGGGGAAGCTTTGAACCCCAAGCCCCCCACCCTGCCCCCCCAGTGCTGCTGCGCCGACTGCGTCAACCAGCGCCAGCTCCTCCTCAAGCCCCCCCAGCCCGACTGCCGTGGGGAGCTGTGGGGCAAGTTCGGCGCCGCCCCCGGCAGAAGTTTTGAGGAGAAACGGGGCCTGAGAGTGCCCGAGCGAGCGCACGCCGAAGAGAAACCCTCCCCCTGCCCCAGCTGCTTGTAACCCCCAGCCCCCCCCAAAAAAACCCGACCTGCCGAGGCAGGGTTGGGGGGGGGGCTGCCCCCTTCCCCACCGCCCTCCCCTCTTGCACTAAAAAGACACAAAAACCTAACGATGCTGGGGAATAACGGTGGATTTGGGGAGCGGGGAGGCTCGGAGGAGCCCCCCCCGACCTTGCCCCACGGAGGGGGTGGAGGAGGAGGAGGTGGACTCGGAGGCGCTTGCCTGAGCTTTTCTAATTAATTAACCTACCAAATCTAATGAGGGGAGGGAGCGGAGGGGAGCCCGGATCGGCCGTGGGGAGCGGGAAAGAGCTCGGGATCCCCCGGCTTCAGGACTGCTTCCGTCGTGCTCCTCTCTCCGTGGGGCAGAGAGGGGCCTCCATGGGGCAGAGAGGGGTCTCCGTGGGGCAGAGAGGGGCCTCTGTGGGGCAGGAGCTTCTCCCACCACCCTCCATCCTTTCTCCTCCCCCCTGGATGTGGTTCCGCTGGGGATGCGGAGCCCGGAGCTGGGGAGGGAGAGGGTCCAGGACCCCCGGAGGAGGTGGCCTCTTGCCGATGCTCCTCGGCCACTGCCTGGGTGGGGGGGTCCGAGGCTGCCCCGGGGGGGCC